TGTGCACTGCCAGCTTACTCGCTGGTGGGGTGGGGTGAGAGACAGAAAAGGCCTTGACTCTGTGTAAGCACTGCTCAGCAATAATGAAAACATCTCTGACCAACACTGTTTTCGGCACGAATCCACAACACAGCCCCGTATTAGGTACCGTGCAGAAAATTAACGTAAAGGGGTGCTTTTGTTTCATTACAGGTTGAGGAATTTTTCTTAGCATAAATGTTTACCTGCAGTTTATTCTAAGTTAAAAATTCTTCTTCTGGTAAATGTCTTTCCTGCTGTTTGTCAATGTGCTGATGCTCAGCCAAGGTAGTTGGATGATACTGTGTGCTCCAGGAAGCATGTTTTTTAAAAATGGCCTCAGAGTCATATTCCTAAACTGTTTAATTCTAGAGACTGTAAACCTTTTTAAAATACAAATTAGAAGACTGGATAAGCCTTAAGATAACTTGCCTAAGCTCTAAATATTGTGTTAAGTAATCATCACCATAAGATAACTAATCACCCAGGTGGAATTTTAAATGATGCTGTTATTTCAAAAACTAATAGTAAAATTATTTTTTATAAATTATAGTGAAACCCAGGAATGGCAAAGGTCAACAAAAGACATAGCTGGATCCCAAAGATTCTTCTTGCTTTGGCAGTGTTTGTAGGAGCTAGGATTTACTGTGGAGACCCATCCTTTTTCATTCCGAAACCTAACAATGTTAAAAATGAATACAGTATAGAGAATGAACGCATAAGCTTTCTCTCCCTGTTAATTCTAAGTATTGAAGCTCATGCCTGAAAACCTTTAGTCTCTTTAGGAAGGAGCAAGTTGAAGTGCCTGGCTACTGAGAACCTATAAGAAGAAGATAAATGATACATTGCCTACAGCCAAAAAAAAAAGGGGGGGGGGGGGCGGTAAATTGCATGTGCTCAGGTTTAGTCTTGATCACATGTACCTGAGAACTACTTGCACAAATCCCTGGCCATTTGGTGTGAGGGGGCATCGAGCAGTACTGCCAGCGCTGGATTTGCTAGCTGGGAAGCGCCTGTCAGCACGATGCCAGGCGGTGCCGTGCTGGGGCTGCGAGCTTGCGGCAGGCCTGGTGGCTGGTTAGCTGTCGTGCCGAGCTGCGTTGCCTGTGCCCCATTTCGTCGTGCTTACGGGATGAGAAGTGGCACAAGAAGTCACTTGAGCGAAAAGAAGTCGAAAGTAGGGGTTTTTTTTATCATTAGGCCAATCTACCGTGGTATTTTGAATAATAAAGGGAGAAACAATATGATGGAATACAAATACAAATGCTGTCAGTTCTTACCTGATTTTTCACTGGTCTGAGTGCAGGGAATCTTCAGCTGTCAAATGAAGGTCTGTAAGTAGAGGGACAATGAGAGAGCAGGAGATAATGCTTTCCCTCAGTGTAAGTCACCCCAGCTTGTTTGCAGCAGTCCCAGCATGTTATGTCTTACATGTACATCTTGGCGGGGGGGGGGCAGCAGGGCGGGGGCCATAGGGGTATT